TGCATGTGGACTGGGGTCAAATGTTCAATGCGTGCCCAAATGGGGCCTGATGCCTGCTGTATGCCAGCCTAGGGTTGAGTGCCTACTGTGTGCTGAGCTGGGGCACGCAGAACAGAAAGCACAGTGTCATCGTAAGTGCTATATGAGTAAAATCAGTGACACAGAGTGACAGTAACGATAGTCAATGTACATCAGGGGCCTGTGCTCTCATTTTAGATGTAATATTTCTAACCCTCCCTGTCACCTTTGGAGATAGGGACTGTCAGGATCCCAGTTTTACAGACCAGAAAACTGAGGTGCAGAAGAAGGGATGTCCTTGCCCAAGGCCACACAGCAACTGAGAGGCAGAGCTGGGATGTGAATCTAGAGTTTTTCTGATTCGGAAGTGTCCTGGCTGTTGAAATAAAACAGGGCTCACACTGGGCTGGGTGGGTGGCTGAATCCTATTCAGATGGGCTGAGCTAGAGAAGAGGAATTGCACCTGGAGGGAATCTCCAAAGTCGAAGTCCTGAAGGCTAGAGTATCAGTGCCCGGCTGCAGGTGCACACAGAGGGTGTGGGGAGCTATTGGGCAGGAGATATGGGTGAAGAGAAACTGACTGGAATGCCAATCAGACGGCCTATGCTTTACATCAATGGGCAGAGGGGAGTCACAGAAGCGTCATGAGTAAAGGAGTGACGTGACTAGAGATGTGTATTAGGAAGAGTTAATCCAGCAATGGGGAGAGCTGGGGGAGTAGAATGAATATAAGACAAGAAAGAACAAGGGCTGAGACTTTTGCAATAAAATGGTGGGGTGAAGGGCAATGGACTTGCTTTGTGTTTGCACCTCTTCTAGACGCAGTACGCACCCACTACCCTCCCCTCTCTTCCCTTAGGAAGCCACCCTCCCCCACTCTGTCTCCTGGTTTTGGGGTTGGGTGGGGCTGCCCCTGGAGACGGTGGGCACTGATGCAGGCCTAGCCAGCCAGAGTCGCAGGGGTTGGTTGAGGATGCGCACATGCACCCAGGCAGGCCAAGGAGAGTTTGTCTGGAGACTTCTGAAATCATTGGTGGAGGGGCTCTCTCTCCCCATCGGGATGGCCTGGAAGCAGGGGCGCCCAGTGGCCATCTGTGTCACCACCGCTCAGGGAGAACCCACCCTCCTGACTGCAAGAAGGGCATTAGAGGAGGAAGGCAGAGCTGGGAGAAGCATGTGAGGGGCCTTGAGTTTGGGCAGCCTCACCTGCAGCTAGCACTTCCCCTGGGCTTTCCAACCGCAGAAGCTACAGACTGGTTTTTTTTTTTCTTTAGGTAATCTGCATAGGGCTTCTCTCTCAGCCCCTGAAAAATCTCTGACCACCACAGGGACTGAGGCATGGGGCAGAAGCAAGAGCGGAGGTGGCGATGGAGCAATTAGCGCAGCGCAGGCCAGGTGTGTCCACAGGCCAGAAGGGCCAGTGCAGGGCCAAAGAGGCAGAAAGAAACAGGAGAGCAGGGCCCAGCGACTTCTTAGATCAGCAGTCTTCCAGGAAAAAAGCTGCAATGGACAAGGAGAGGCCAGGCTGGGGGCTGAGGAGCGATGAGAGTGGGAGACTGGGCAGGCACATTCCATTCTGGAAACTGCTGGGTGGGAAAGGACAGAAGGAAGACAGCAGCCAGAGAGGAAGGAGAAGGAGAAGGAGGGTGTGTCAGAGAGATAATGACCCAGGAGGGACCGTGGGGAGAATGGGGGAGAGAGCCCAGGAAGAAACCTCCCACTCCTACCCCTACAGTCCCAGAGCAATGGACACGGAGTCCAGGTATGCTTATGCTTTCCAGACTTCCGCGTCCTTTGTGCACCTTGTGAGATGTTTGGAAACAGGAAGTCTAACTGGGGCCACAAAGAGCCCTCCCTGCATCACTCAAGAGGGTAAACATGTCTTTTGTAACTGCAAATGATCACACAAGCCCCAATCAGAACCTGCTGTACCACTTAGGAAGCCTCATGGCTTAGAGATGAGAATCTAAACCACTTCCTTAGATTGAAGAGGCCAAGAGCATAGGCCTTGGAGCCAGTTTGGCTGTGTGATCTCAGGCAAGTCACTTAACCTCTCTGGGCCGTGGTTCATACACCTGTAAAAGGGCAACAAATCTCAGTGACAAAGACACGGCATGCCAAGTGCAGCGACTGATATATAAAGTTCCTAGTTGATGTTCCGATTCCTTTGTCACTGGGTTATAAGGACACAGAAGTGGGAAGGAACAAGCTTCTCGAAGAGGAACAAGAGCAGACACAGCACCCATAACTCGCCTATACATTTGTCCAACAGATGGGTGAGGAAGGAAGGCAGCTTTCCAGCCAAAGCAGACGGAGCCTTCAGATCCCATGGTCCATTCATAAGATCAACAAGCAGCAGGGAAAGCATTTTTAGTTCCCCCGCCAGACACTCCCCACTCCCATCCCTGTGCTTGGGGGAAGGGCCAGAATAGAAAACCACAAAGCCCAAGGGAGGAAGGAAGTGTTCTCTGACCCAAGCAAGCCTTTCCAGCTTTGCAGGCCCACCGGCCAGGAGCATCTGTTAGGAATCTATTAACCGGATGATCTATCTTCCCCAGGTCACCTTCTCCTACTTGGTGGAGGGAACAATAGCTTCAGGGGTGGAACCCAGTCTGATCGGGGGTGGGGAGATGGATGGCCAGCAGGAGGAAAGAAATTGCTAGTTTACTGTCCTCAAGTTCAGGGTGGAAGGAGACAAAGCTTCAGAGGCAGCAAGGCAAAAAATACTGCTGAATCTCCAAGTTGTGCACAAAATATGGAGGAAGTCAAGAGTTTGCACTTATTTTACTTGTAAAAGCATTCACCACGGTGATGGAAGGATGGAAGCCCTGAGTCAGGGGCCTGGGTCCAAGTACTGACCCCACCAACTCTCCACAAGAGGCCCTGTGCGCCTTATGAAATGTGAGTTTTAAGGGCACTTTATGTGATGGGTATTTTAAACCAACTCTTTACAAAAGCAATGAGGGAGTGTCTAGAGGCAGCTCTCAGGTAGACATTTTAGTTGGAAAAGCATTTTTTTAAATACCTAGTACCACCCAGCCCATAGCATATACTTCATAAATATTATTTGAATTAGACTAAATGCAAAATACCGTTTGATTAAGGAAGCAGTTAAGGAAAGGAGCAGTCATGTGATGCTTGGCACAATTTTGTAATTTTATTTATTTCACAAAGAACCATGTAATTTGTATGGACACGGTCCTGAGCATTTAGCACACATTGACTGACTCGTAACAGCCCTCCAAGATTACAGGTGAGAAAACCAAGGCACTGAGAGGTGAAGTAACTTGCCCCAAGCCACAAAGCTAGAAAATGGCCACTTGGAGATTCAAACCCACCCACGAGGCTGGCTCAGAGTCCCCACCCAAACCTTCGGGCTACACTGTCTGTCTGAATACCTCTGTTTCCAAGCTAGAGATCAGAGGCCAGAGAGAGCCCCCTCTCCAAACTCAGCTTTCAAAGGTCCTATCACCAGTAATGCTGTGCCTTTGCCTCTGTTGAGGCGTGTATGGTTATACACACCATGAGTTTTTTCCTTTTAATGGTTCAACACACACCAGGAAAATGCACAAAGTTTAACAATCTTAAGTATTTTGCTTAATGATTTCTTACATATGTGCACACTTGTGTAACCCCATCCCAGATCGAAATGCAGGACCTTTCCACCCCCTACCCCAGCCTTCCATGTGCTCCTGCCGTGTCAGTGGCTGTCTACCCAAAATATGACCACTATTCTGACTTTTCACACCATAGGCTAGCATTGCCTTTTCTACAATTTCACACAAATGGGATCACATGGGGTGTATTCTTTCAAACCTGGCTCTATATTTTTCAAATAATGAAAAACTGACAATGATTATGGTTGAAAGGAGGATGCAGCTGATAATTTGTTTCTCTTGCAGTAAGCTCCAGGATTGTTTTTATTTTGGCTCACTGACAGACCAAAAGGGAGGAAGGTGGGAGGACTGAACACTGGCATTTGGAACCTTGTGAGTTGACTGTGGAAAAACCAGTGATCCGCGGGGGGCAAAGGAGCTGTCCCGCCTGGAAAGGGCAATGAGGAACAAGAAGCCAGGAAGTCACCTCTGGTTGCTCTGAATGTCCAGGAGGGAGAAGGCTTTATGTAGCTTTAAAATGCTCAAAACTGGTTCCTCCAGCGCTAGGGGCACCAAAGGTGGCCACAGACTCCTCCGCAAGAGGTAGACAATTTCCCAAAAGATCAGCAGTTCCCCCAAAAGGCACGTCTCCTACCTGTGCACTGTTGGATGAAGTCCTGATATTCCTCTCCCTGCTCGCCGGGGACGATGGTGGAGCCGTCATATTTAAAAGTCACCCTTTGGATTGGGAGAAGAAAAACACACACACACATCAGCGTTGGTAGCTGCATGGTGCCGAGCTTCCAGCAGGACAATCTAAAGATGCTCTGCCTGGGGAGAAGCCAGCTGGCTTTCCACGCTGTCCTGGGTTAAGGCTGCGGAAGACAGCACGGGATGACCCTTAATCCGTCCCGTCTGGAAGACGGCTCAGTGCACCAGCCCCTCTCGAGCTCGGGGAGCGGGGCCTGGAGAGCAATGGAAAGTTCCTCACCAGATGACGGCCGAGCTGTCGTCGCGCACCAGGTTGTACGCCTCCCGGCAAGCCTCTTTGTCGATCTTGGTGGCCATCGCCGCGGGGCCGCAGCGGGGACACTCTGCCCAGAGAAACTGTGAGCGCCCTGGGTCAGCCGCAGGGTTCGGAGAGCTGCGGGCTCGCGCGGAGAGCTGGCGAGAAACCGCGGCGGGCGACAGCGGCGGCTGTAGCGACACTGAGTGGCAAGCTCCAAGCTCCCAGCGCCCCGGAGGTTGCGAGTACGACCGAGCGCGCGCCTGGACCAAGGCCGCGCCGCACCGCCCCCCAGCTGCACCGCCCCGGCCCCCTCCGACCATTGGTCCGGAGGGGGCCGGCCGGGGCAGCTGTCAGCGGTGCGGCGCGGCCTTGGTCCAGGCGCGCGCTCGGTCGTACTCGCAACCTCCGGGGCGCTGGGAGCTTGGAGCTTGCCACTCAGTGTCGCTACAGCCGCCGCTGTCGCCCGCCGCGGTTTCTCGCCAGCTCTCCGCGCGAGCCCGCAGCTCTCCGAACCCTGCGGCTGACCCAGGGCGCTCACAGTTTCTCTGGGCAGAGTGTCCCCGCTGCGGCCCCGCGGCGATGGCCACCAAGATCGACAAAGAGGCTTGCCGGGAGGCGTACAACCTGGTGCGCGACGACAGCTCGGCCGTCATCTGGTGAGGAACTTTCCATTGCTCTCCAGGCCCCGCTCCCCGAGCTCGAGAGGGGCTGGTGCACTGAGCCGTCTTCCAGACGGGACGGATTAAGGGTCATCCCGTGCTGTCTTCCGCAGCCTTAACCCAGGACAGCGTGGAAAGCCAGCTGGCTTCTCCCCAGGCAGAGCATCTTTAGATTGTCCTGCTGGAAGCTCGGCACCATGCAGCTACCAACGCTGATGTGTGTGTGTGTTTTTTCTTCTCCCAATCCAAAGGGTGACTTTTAAATATGACGGCTCCACCATCGTCCCCGGCGAGCAGGGAGAGGAATATCAGGACTTCATCCAACAGTGCACAGGTAGGAGACGTACCTTTTGGGGGAACTGCTGATCTTTTGGGAAATTGTCTACCTCTTGCGGAGGAGTCTGTGGCCACCTTTGGTGCCCCTAGCGCTGGAGGAACCAGTTTTGAGCATTTTAAAGCTACATAAAGCCTTCTCCCTCTTGGACATTCAGAGCAACCAGAGGTGACTTCCTGGCTTCTTGTTCCTCATTGCCCTTTCCAGGCGGGACAGCTCCTTTGCCCCCCGCGGATCACTGGTTTTTCCACAGTCAACTCACAAGGTTCCAAATGCCAGTGTTCAGTCCTCCCACCTTCCTCCCTTTTGGTCTGTCAGTGAGCCAAAATAAAAACAATCCTGGAGCTTACTGCAAGAGAAACAAATTATCAGCTGCATCCTCCTTTCAACCATAATCATTGTCAGTTTTTCATTATTTGAAAAATATAGAGCCAGGTTTGAAAGAATACACCCCATGTGATCCCATTTGTGTGAAATTGTAGAAAAGGCAATGCTAGCCTGTGGTGTGAAAAGTCAGAATAGTGGTCATATTTTGGGTAGACAGCCACTGACACGGCAGGAGCACATGGAAGGCTGGGGTAGGGGGTGGAAAGGTCCTGCATTTCGATCTGGGATGGGGTTACACAAGTGTGCACATATGTAAGAAATCATTAAGCAAAATACTTAAGATTGTTAAACTTTGTGCATTTTCCTGGTGTGTGTTGAACCATTAAAAGGAAAAAAACTCATGGTGTGTATAACCATACACGCCTCAACAGAGGCAAAGGCACAGCATTACTGGTGATAGGACCTTTGAAAGCTGAGTTTGGAGAGGGGGCTCTCTCTGGCCTCTGATCTCTAGCTTGGAAACAGAGGTATTCAGACAGACAGTGTAGCCCGAAGGTTTGGGTGGGGACTCTGAGCCAGCCTCGTGGGTGGGTTTGAATCTCCAAGTGGCCATTTTCTAGCTTTGTGGCTTGGGGCAAGTTACTTCACCTCTCAGTGCCTTGGTTTTCTCACCTGTAATCTTGGAGGGCTGTTACGAGTCAGTCAATGTGTGCTAAATGCTCAGGACCGTGTCCATACAAATTACATGGTTCTTTGTGAAATAAATAAAATTACAAAATTGTGCCAAGCATCACATGACTGCTCCTTTCCTTAACTGCTTCCTTAATCAAACGGTATTTTGCATTTAGTCTAATTCAAATAATATTTATGAAGTATATGCTATGGGCTGGGTGGTACTAGGTATTTAAAAAAATGCTTTTCCAACTAAAATGTCTACCTGAGAGCTGCCTCTAGACACTCCCTCATTGCTTTTGTAAAGAGTTGGTTTAAAATACCCATCACATAAAGTGCCCTTAAAACTCACATTTCATAAGGCGCACAGGGCCTCTTGTGGAGAGTTGGTGGGGTCAGTACTTGGACCCAGGCCCCTGACTCAGGGCTTCCATCCTTCCATCACCGTGGTGAATGCTTTTGCAAGTAAAATAAGTGCAAACTCTTGACTTCCTCCATATTTTGTGCACAACTTGGAGATTCAGCAGTATTTTTTGCCTTGCTGCCTCTGAAGCTTTGTCTCCTTCCACCCTGAACTTGAGGACAGTAAACTAGCAATTTCTTTCCTCCTGCTGGCCATCCATCTCCCCACCCCCGATCAGACTGGGTTCCACCCCTGAAGCTATTGTTCCCTCCACCAAGTAGGAGAAGGTGACCTGGGGAAGATAGATCATCCGGTTAATAGATTCCTAACAGATGCTCCTGGCCGGTGGGCCTGCAAAGCTGGAAAGGCTTGCTTGGGTCAGAGAACACTTCCTTCCTCCCTTGGGCTTTGTGGTTTTCTATTCTGGCCCTTCCCCCAAGCACAGGGATGGGAGTGGGGAGTGTCTGGCGGGGGAACTAAAAATGCTTTCCCTGCTGCTTGTTGATCTTATGAATGGACCATGGGATCTGAAGGCTCTGTCTGCTTTGGCTGGAAAGCTGCCTTCCTTCCTCACCCATCTGTTGGACAAATGTATAGGCGAGTTATGGGTGCTGTGTCTGCTCTTGTTCCTCTTCGAGAAGCTTGTTCCTTCCCACTTCTGTGTCCTTATAACCCAGTGACAAAGGAATCGGAACATCAACTAGGAACTTTATATATCAGTCGCTGCACTTGGCATGCCGTGTCTTTGTCACTGAGATTTGTTGCCCTTTTACAGGTGTATGAACCACGGCCCAGAGAGGTTAAGTGACTTGCCTGAGATCACACAGCTAAACTGGCTCCAAGGCCTATGCTCTTGGCCTCTTCAATCTAAGGAAGTGGTTTAGATTCTCATCTCTAAGCCATGAGGCTTCCTAAGTGGTACAGCAGGTTCTGATTGGGGCTTGTGTGATCATTTGCAGTTACAAAAGACATGTTTACCCTCTTGAGTGATGCAGGGAGGGCTCTTTGTGGCCCCAGTTAGACTTCCTGTTTCCAAACATCTCACAAGGTGCACAAAGGACGCGGAAGTCTGGAAAGCATAAGCATACCTGGACTCCGTGTCCATTGCTCTGGGACTGTAGGGGTAGGAGTGGGAGGTTTCTTCCTGGGCTCTCTCCCCCATTCTCCCCACGGTCCCTCCTGGGTCATTATCTCTCTGACACACCCTCCTTCTCCTTCTCCTTCCTCTCTGGCTGCTGTCTTCCTTCTGTCCTTTCCCACCCAGCAGTTTCCAGAATGGAATGTGCCTGCCCAGTCTCCCACTCTCATCGCTCCTCAGCCCCCAGCCTGGCCTCTCCTTGTCCATTGCAGCTTTTTTCCTGGAAGACTGCTGATCTGAGAAGTCGCTGGGCCCTGCTCTCCTGTTTCTTTCTGCCTCTTTGGCCCTGCACTGGCCCTTCTGGCCTGTGGACACACCTGGCCCGCGCTGCGCTAATTGCTCCATCGCCACCTCTGCTCTTGCTTCTGCCCCATGCCTCAGTCCCTGCGGTGGTCAGAGATTTTTCAGGGGCTGAGAGAGAAGCCCTATGCAGATTACCTAAAGAAAAAAAAAAACCAGTCTGTAGCTTCTGCGGTTGGAAAGCCCAGGGGAAGTGCTAGCTGCAGGTGAGGCTGCCCAAACTCAAGGCCCCTCACATGCTTCTCCCAGCTCTGCCTTCCTCCTCTAATGCCCTTCTTGCAGTCAGGAGGGTGGGTTCTCCCTGAGCGGTGGTGACACAGATGGCCACCGGGCGCCCCTGCTTCCAGGCCATCCCGATGGGGAGAGAGAGCCCCTTCGCCAATGATTTCAGAAGTCTCCAGACAAACTCTCCTTGGCCTGCCTGGGTGCATGTGCGCATCCTCAACCAACCCCTGCGACTCTGGCTGGCTAGGCCTGCATCAGTGCCCACCGTCTCCAGGGGCAGCCCCACCCAACCCCAAAACCAGGAGACAGAGTGGGGGAGGGTGGCTTCCTAAGGGAAGAGAGGGGAGGGTAGTGGGTGCGTACTGCGTCTAGAAGAGGTGCAAACACAAAGCAAGTCCATTGCCCTTCACCCCACCATTTTATTGCAAAAGTCTCAGCCCTTGTTCTTTCTTGTCTTATATTCATTCTACTCCCCCAGCTCTCCCCATTGCTGGATTAACTCTTCCTAACACACATCTCTAGTCAAGTCACTCCTTTACTCATGACGCTTCTGTGACTCCCCTCTGCCCATTGATGTAAAGCATAGGCCGTCTGATTGGCATTCCAGTCAGTTTCTCTTCACCCATATCTCCTGCCCAATAGCTCCCCACACCCTCTGTGTGCACCTGCAGCCGGGTACTGATACTCTAGCCTTCAGGACTTCGACTTTGGAGATTCCCTCCAGGTGCAATTCCTCTTCTCTAGCTCAGCCCATCTGAATAGGATTCAGCCACCCACCCAGCCCAGTGTGAGCCCTGTTTTATTTCAACAGCCAGGACACTTCCGAATCAGAAAAACTCTAGATTCACATCCCAGCTCTGCCTCTCAGTTGCTGTGTGGCCTTGGGCAAGGACATCCCTTCTTCTGCATCTCAGTTTTCTGGTCTGTAAAACTGGGATCCTGACAGTCCCTATCTCCAAAGGTGACAGGGAGGGTTAGAAATATTACATCTAAAATGAGAGCACAGGCCCCTGATGTACATTGACTATCGTTACTGTCACTCTGTGTCACTGATTTTACTCATATAGCACTTACGACGACACTGTGCTTTCTGTTCTGCGTGCCCCAGCTCAGCACACAGTAGGCACTCAACCCTAGGCTGGCATACAGCAGGCATCAGGCCCCATTTGGGCACGCATTGAACATTTGACCCCAGTCCACATGCAGTAGGTGCTTAGTGCACGGTGAAAGGTGGTTAGCATAGTGATTAAAGGTTTGGGCTGCATTGGACGGTCTGGCTTCTAATACTTGCAAGTCATGTGACCTGGAGCAGGCGAGTTACCCTCCTGGACATCCCTTCTGCTATGATGTGGTCATTAGGAGGAGTAAGGAAGCAATTCTGTGGTACCCAGGACATAGTTAGTGCTCCATAAATATTAATTACTATGGTTATTATCTTACTGGTGGAATTTAATCAATGTTGAAGTAGTGTATGTGGTGTGAGAGCACCAAAAAGGTGGGAGGGTGAAGAGCTGATGGGGAGGAAATGGGTAAAGCTGCTGGAGGGTCTCTAGTTCCTCTGACAGAGCTACTGGGGGGCAGGAGGAGCCAGGCTCAGCTGACAAAGGTCTCAGGAAAGGAGCCATTTACCAGACTGACTGGACACATGATCTCTCTGATTGATGCAGAAAGGGCTTTCAGATCACGCATGTGTGATGAGACAGTGGCTTGGGCTATCTATGAAATCGTGTTCTGTTTTTTCACCTTACATGTAATACCTGCTCCTTGTAGAATATTCAGACACCAAGACCAAAAAGAGTACAAAAACTCAGATATAGTTCAGATATATTCATAGTTTTACCATGTGAAACTTGTTCGCTTGTTTGCTCATTCCTTAATCCATTCTCTTCTTCCCTTCTCTCCCCTACTTCTTATCTCCTTCCCTCCAGTGGACAG